AGACAGAAGTACGAGCAATAACGGAATGCTTTAATTGTATTAGAATAGCGCCCACAGCGCTTAATATATTTACCGACAGCTAGAAGGCAATTAGAGCGACATCAGGTGATTCAGACGAGTGTAGAGCATGTGGAGAGGACAGTGAAACTCTGGAGCAGTTTCTTTGCCACTGCCAGGCATTCGTCGAAGTTAGATACAAGTATCTTGGAAGTGATGTTATTCCGGAAATAACATTTCAGAATAACACTGATTGGAAGATTCTTAGGAAATACGTCCAGGAAATTGAGTTTCTGAACAATGAAAAATAATTCATTCAGTTCCTTTTTTCATGATAAGGAGCGCACAACAGACCCGATAGTGGCCTAGGTGTATTTCTTCTGATTTGATGTAGTATACATCCTTCTATCAACCTAACCTAACCTTATATGAGTCCAGTCTTATACTCGAACTTCTGAACTACTTCTCCGATTTACTATAAACAGCTTTCTAAGTGTTCGCGTTATACGTGTCGTTATGGATCATGAACGGAGTCTTTTGGTACTTCTGTGTTCTCCTGTGGTTGTGTTTGAAGTCTATAAACGATTAGACCAATTTTATTGAAGTTTTCACAGAGTCTTCTTAGACAACTTATAGTATTAAAAGCATACCTCAGAACCTGCAATAGTTAGAGGTCCTCAAATTATATATGACAAAATGGGCGAACTAACTATAGTGGGAGTGGCACTTCTCATATAAATAACATTCTAAATCAGTTTATCTGAGAAAATATAACAGCTAAAGTATCATTAAATAATGGGCGTACTGTAACTAAAGGGCGTGGTACCCCTCATATAAATAAATACAAAGATTCGTATATCTGTGAAACTATTAGAGGTAGAATTCTCAAATTTTCCAAGAGCTACATTGAAATCTATATTTTGAAGGAAAATATTCGAACTAGCACAAGGGGGCGTGGCTCCTCTCTTATGAATTAAATACAAAAATGCATATATCTGGGAAGCTATTAGAGTAAGAATCCTCAAATTGCACTATCAACTATGACATCCAGATTAACATGAGCGGATTAGCGGTAGAGGGCGTGGCACAAAAATTCATATATCTAAGAAACTTTTGGAGGTAGAATCCTTAAATTTGTAGCGTTATTTAAGAATCTACAACCAATTTAACCATATTTTAAGTGATAACAGATATGAGCTATTTTTTCAATTCAAACACTTTTTAAGGATCTATAACCATTTTCTATATAAATATACATTTTTTATGGAAAATTTAATTGATAACAGATTTCTGCTCTTATTAAATTTGTTTAATTTTCTTTTAAACCTCTCCCTCTCTCATACGAACTTTACCTCTCACTTACACTTTTTCAATATTTGTTATGAAAGGAGAACTTTTAAACACAATTTCTCATCACTTTCATTACTTTCTCTTCTCATTACTCTTAAGCTTATCTCCTGGTTATAATGATTAAATGAAATCTAAAAATTTTAGCTGATCAATTAGTAACTGATCTTTGATTGATACTTTTTTTGACATAATAATTTTCAAGGTTAGATTATTAGTGTTTTTTTCTAAATGCTGCTAATGTACTTAAGTACATGCATCCATTATCTTTATTAGATTGTTAATTCTATATAGAATTATCAATGATTTCTTAAAGTTTTTTTTTTATTTAAAAGTGAAATTGTTTTGTTGTATATATAAGTTACCCTACAGCGGGTAAAAAGCTTTGTTTAAAACCTTAAAACTTAATGAAACATTTACAAAAATAAATTTCTTTTAAATACTTGAAATAAATCTTTTAAAATCTATTTATAGTATTTAAATATTATTATCACTAAATTTTGTTTATTTCATGTGGCCTCGCGTGACTTGTTAAAGAACACGAGCGAGTTATGTATGTACATACGCATGTATATTGTTTATGTTTTAACCCATTAATAGCGACAACCACAAGTTAGACATATTTGAAGACGATTATGGATAACGCCACCTAATCTAATTGTGTAGTCCATTACATGGATTGACCGAGGTCACTGTCTTTCTGTCTGAATGTCTGTCTGTTCGTCTTTCTGTCCGACCATTTGTCTGTCTTTTGGTCTTTCTCTGTGTCCGTCTGTCTATTTGTTGTCTGTCTGTCTGTTTGTCTGTCTGTTTGTTTTTCTGTCCGTCTGTCCTGTCTGCCTTTTGCTTCTGTCTGTCTGCCTGTCTTTTTGTCTCATTGTCTATTTAATTGTCTGTATACTTATCTATCTATCTGTCCCCAGATGCCTTCGGGATCAAATCTTCAATATTTCTATAGACGCACTTTCGAAATGTTCCCAAAAATACGTTCACATGCAGTTCTTTCTTATATGTTGTATTACATTGTATTATTATTTTTGGCTGAAACAACAACAACATATATGTAATGTATGTATGTATGTATGTATGTATGTATGTATGTATGTATGTAGTATGTATGTATGTATGTATGTATTAGGTATGTATGTAGTATGTATGTATGTATGTATGTATGTATGTATGTATGTATGTATGTATGTATGTATGTATGTATGTATGTATGTATGTATGTATGTAATGTATGTATGTAATGTATGTATGTATGTATGTATGTATATGTATGTATGTATTTCTGTCTGTCTGTCTGTCTTCTGTCTGTCTGTCTGTCTGTCTGTCTGTCTGTCTGTCTGTCTGTATTCTGTCTGTCTGTCTGTCTGTCTGTCTGTCTGTCTGTATGTCTGTCTGTCTGTCTGTCTGTCGTCGTATGTCTGTCTGTCTGTCTGTCTGTCTGTCTGTCTGTCTGTCTGTCTGTCTGTCTGTCTGTCTGTCTGTCTGTCTTCTGTCTGTCTGTCTGTCTGTCTGTCTGTCTGTCGTGTCTGTCTGTCTGTCTGTCTCTGTCTGTCTGTCTGTCTGTCTGTCTGTCTGTCTGTCTGTCTGTCTGTCTGTCTGTCTGTCTGTCTGTCTGTCTGTCTGTCTGTCTGTCTGTCTGTCTGTCTGTCTGTCTGTCTCTGTCTTCTGTCTGTCTGTTGTCTGTCTGTCTGTCTGTCTTCTGTCTGTCTGTCTGTCTGTCTGTCTGTCTGTCTGTCTGTCTGTCGTCTGTCTGTCTGTCTGTCTTCTGTCTGTCTGTCTGTCTGTCTGTCTGTCTCTGTCTGTCTGTCTGTCTGTCTGTCTGTCTGTCTGTCTGTCTGTCTGTCTGTCCTGTCTGTCTGTCTGTCTGTCTGTCTGTCTCTGTCTCTGTCTGTCTGTCTGTCTTCTGTCTGTCTGTCTGTCTGTCTGTCTGTCTGTCTTCTGTCTGTCTGTCTGTCTGTCTGTCTGTCTCTGTCTGTCTGTCTGTCTGTCTGTCTGTCTGTTCTGTCTGTCTGTTGTCTTGTTCTTGTTCTTTAGTTTTATTATACGGAAGATTTGTTAAGGCGGAAATCAGGAATTGAAAGAGTTTATGAATGAAATTCAGACACCGGGGTACTTTCACAACCACAAGATGATCTAGAGATGACTCACCAATGCGCCTTTGTGGGCCTTGCACCAACACCCAGTTGGCAATTGCTGTACATGCTGTCGCCGATCCATGTACAAGGCTTTTGCTCAAGTATTCGAGCTGTCTTAGTCTATTGCTGTCCCATTGCTCTTCCGTTTACAATGACACAGATAAGATGATCTCTGTTGATTCAACAACAGTACCTAGAGCCGTAATCATTGGACTGAAAAACAACTGCATCAAATAAGCCAAAGAGAAGTTCTTTTTCACAGAGAACACACAGTGGTGGTATGAATAGAGCCGAAGCAGAACATACCAAGACAAAGAAGGGAACAAGATACCATACATCCCCCACCATTCAAACCAAAACACTGACACATTCAAGAGAAAATATCCGAAAGATTCATAGAAGTAAATGAGTTGGGCAGGACCTTATACCCCCAATTCATTCTGTATCCTCGAACTTTCTTTAGAATAATTTGACCTGTGATCGAATCAGAGAATCTAACTAGTAGAAGTAGTAGTACAAGGACCGGCGAAACCACGTACAATTCTTGCCACATGAGTGTGGGTGCAAGGCACCTGGGACTTATTATATATCTAAACTCTTAGACTTAGAATATATCTAAACTCTCTACTGGAGAGTTTCCTTGGAGGTGCACATGGTCACTCTAGTTTAAAGCCAAGATCTCGAAACTGATATACGGTGAAATCTATATTTCTGGATAACTTCAGTTCTGTTGCCGAAAAAGACAACAAATACAACAGTGGTAAGTCTGTTATGAACAGAGACGAACCAGAACATACCTAGACAAAGAAGGGAATAAGATACCATACATTCCTCACCATTCAAACCAACACACTGACACATTCAAGAGAAAATATCCGAAAGATTCATACAAGTAAATGGGTGGGGCAGGTCCTTATACCCCCGATTCATTCTGTATGGGACTTTCAATCCCACAGTCACTCCTTATTGGGGTATTTGTTGTCTTTTTTCTGCAACAGAACAGAAGTTATCCAGAAATATAGATTTCACTGTATATCAGTCTCGAGATCTTGGGTTTAAGATTACTCCAAAGATAGTCCTTGCACTACTACGCTGGTACTTGTACTACTAGCAAATTAGTTAGATTCTCTGGTACGATCACAGGTCAAATCTTTCTAAAGAAAGTTCGAGGATTCATTTGCCATCACCAGTTTATAGTCCCGGAAGACTATGGGTACTGATAGCACCTCTTTTTTTCTGGATTGCAATCACACTAAGAGGGGGTTACTATATCCCATCTCTTCTGAATCCCTCTAAAACATTATATAGTAAACTTCAAAGTCGACTAAAAATTCCTTCCTATACAAAACATTGCACTTTTAACAACCTCTCATTACGTTGACAATTTTCCCCATAGTTTATATTAAATAAACAAAAATTTTCTAAAACCCTTAACCCCTAAAACAACTCTCTTATCTTAATTAACAATCTCTATTAATAAATAACTGAAAGTCATGACTTTTAATTAATAGAAATTAATTTTAATTATTTAATACTAAACATAGATGATTAGCTTATCTTATGAATCATTAATACTATTTTTGGGAGAATATGTTAAAGTTTAAATGAAAACAAAATGCAAACATAAATAGAATTAATATTTGGAAATATATATAAACCTTCAAAACAAAGCTATAGCATTAATTAATACCTTGTCTATAACTTTTAAGATGCTAATTTAGAATTACAATTATTTTCTAATATATTATTAAGGACTTTAAAGTTCCATTAATACCATTTCTTCTTGTCTGCTGTCATTAGCAATTTGATATTCCTCTAGGGATTTCTGCTCTCTATGCACTATTTCCTTGATATGACGTCGAGCCATATGATTATTTAGGTTGCCTACACTTTGATAGGATCTATTGCAGAACTCACAGGCGAAAGGTTTTTCTCCAGTATGCACTAACTGGTGTGAGGTTAGATGTCCCCGAGTGAAAAAACTTTTTTCACAACGATCACATTTAAAGGGTCTTTCCATATTGGGGTCGTGGGATCTCATATGGGTTCTTAGATCGGATCTAGTGGGCCATTTTTTACCACACTCCTGACACTCAAAAATGCGCGGTTTAGCTTCTCCAGTATGGATGCGCATGTGTGAGACCAATTGAGATTTGAGCACAAATTGTCGATCACATTGTGGACAAAAATGAGGTTTCTGCTGATAGTGTACCGATTTCTGATGATAACTTAGGCTGTGATTAGAGGCAAAAGTTTTTGTGCATATCTGACAAGTATACTGTAGGCCATCGCCTATTTGGTGAACGGATATAAGATGTAGTTTCAGCTGGAAATTACGGGTAAATTTTTTATCACAATAATTGCAAGGAAAGGGGCCTTTATAGGACTTTCTTCTAGAAGAGGTATCAGAATCTGAAGATCTAGTAGAAACCGAGGAAAGATCAGTTGAGTTGTTTTGATTTGTAGAGGATTGTAGGAAATTTTCAAAATTGTAACTACTTTGTGGCGATAAATCCTCTTCAAATATACCGCTATCATGTGAAGAGCTATATAAATCCAAATCACTCGGCAGGTGGGAGAATTCAAAGGTATCTATAAATAAAAAAAACTAAATTAAGAAATTTCCCGCATCAAATAGTTTTAAAAAACTCACCAAAATCATTTAAATCATGAGGAAATTCATTAAACTCTCCTGATTCCTTCTCCTGCCAGTTAGTTATCACATTATTATCTTCCTGCCTTAATTTCTCGATCAAACCCAACACCTCTTCCACAGCTTGATTTTTATAATCCGTATAACGATTCCTTAGCTCCTCATCTGCCAGCACACATTGCTGGCGAAATTCTTTGAACTGCTGCACCTGCAACCAGCATTCATCACAAATAATTTGTGGCAAACCATCAGTGTTTTCACATTTTATGGAAACCGGTAAACACAGCTTTAAATCCTCCCATAAATTACTATATTTATCGAATATCTTATAGGTTAGTGGAGGATTTTCCTTTAAGCAACAGCGACACACATTTTGATTCATCATATTGTTTAAATTATTTTAATACTTGTTTTAATTAAATTATAAATTTATTTAATCTAAGAAGTCTTGTTTACACATTGGACTCCCAAACCATTTTGAAATAGAAATCTTTAATGGCCTTTTCGAGAGCCTTTAGTTGGAAATTTATAAGTAAGAAGACTTTCTCTCACACTCACCAACTCAAGGCCTTAAAGGCTCTCTTTAAACGTTAACTAATAACGTTCTCTTCTCAAAACTAAAGGTTTACCTCATAAAAACTCTACATACGAAAACACAATAACAGCGTTAAACTGCACATCAACCACAAAACCCTACCTTTCCTTAAGTCACAAAAATATCTACATTCACATAATCCCAAATACAATACTCTTACATTTTATCCTTATATCTATACATTCAACAGTTTATAAAACCCTTTGCTCTTTTCTTTTTTTAATGTTTTAATATCTCACACTCTCTTACGTTTCTCAACGCTCACTTCTGTTTCCCTTAATCTCAGCTCAAACAAAGCCGTTTATTACGTGGTGGCTTATCATGTACCTACTTGTCTATAATTTGTTTGTGGCACTTTCATCATCTATTTATTTATTTGTTTGCCACTGATAACAAATATTTATTATCTCTAGTACTTAAGTCGAGTTTAAATGTAAGTGGCGACCTGTGTTTTGCTGAATTTATGTGAAAAGTCAGCTTTAATCTTTATTTAAAGAGGGAAACCCCTAAAAATAAATCAATAGATAATGAAATCATATCTTGAGGTTCAAAATATTTGGAAAATATCATCAGTTCATGTGTCGAACAGTAACGATAAAAATTTGTTCAAAGAAATTTCAAGTCAGTTTTCAGTTCTAGTTCAGTTCTAGTTCAGTTCTAGTTCAGTTCTAGTTCAGTTCTAGTTCAGTTCTAGTTCAGTTCTAGTTCAGTTCTAGTTCAGTTCTAGTTCAGTTCTGGTTCAGTTCTAGTTCAGTTCTAGTTCAGTTCTAGTTCAGTTCTAGTTCAGTTCTAGTTCAGTTCTAGTTCAGTTCTAGTTCAGTTCTAGTTCAGTTCTAGTTCAGTTCTAGTTCAGTTCTAGTTCAGTTCTAGTTCAGTTCTAGTTCAGTTCTAGTTCAGTTCTAGTTCAGTTCTAGTTCAGTTCTAGTTCAGTTCTAGTTCAGTTCTAGTTCAGTTCTAGTTCAGTTCTAGTTCAGTTCTAGTTCAGTTCTAGTTCAGTTCTAGTTCAGTTCTAGTTCAGTTCTAGTTCAGTTCTAGTTCAGTTCTAGTTCAGTTCTAGTTCAGTTCTAGTTCAGTTCTAGTTCAGTTCTAGTTCAGTTCTAGTTCAGTTCTAGTTCAGTTCTAGTTCAGTTCTAGTTCAGTTCTAGTTCAGTTCTAGTTCAGTTCTAGTTCAGTTCTAGTTCAGTTCTAGTTCAGTTCTAGTTCAGTTCTAGTTCAGTTCTAGTTCAGTTCTAGTTCAGTTCTAGTTCAGTTCTAGTTCAGTTCTAGTTCAGTTCTAGTTCAGTTCTAGTTCAGTTCTAGTTCAGTTCTAGTTCAGTTCTAGTTCAGTTCTAGTTCAGTTCTAGTTCAGTTCTAGTTCAGTTCTAGTTCAGTTCTAGTTCAGTTCTAGTTCAGTTCTAGTTCAGTTCTAGTTCAGTTCTAGTTCAGTTCTAGTTCAGTTCTAGTTCAGTTCTAGTTCAGTTCTAGTTCAGTTCTAGTTCAGTTCTAGTTCAGTTCTAGTTCAGTTCTAGTTCAGTTCTAGTTCAGTTCTAGTTCAGTTCTAGTTCAGTTCTAAGTCAGTTCTAGTTGCGTTCTAGTTCCGTTCTATTTCAGTTTTAGTTCAGTTGCAGTAGTGCTCTTAATATTCTGCTATATTCCAGTTTTGCTTTCTGAAGAGATAACCAGTTGAGGCAGATGATACAGAGATGCATATTTTGCTAATAAAGAATTTATAGTTTGTTTGTCTTTTTTAAATATTGCCCCGGAGTCTTCTCTAATGTTGATAAGATGATTTTTGTTCATATTTTTCATAAATATTATTATGTTGAACTTGAAAGATGTTTATTCAGATAATGGAAAGTGATTTTAGGTTGATGGAATTAGAAAGAGCATAAAAATCATTATCAAGTTCAAATTCCATTCTGAGTACACAAAATAAATAAATAAAGCTGATGAACTTATTTGAGATCAATTTGCTAAACAAATAAGAGGGGATTCATCACTTTGGTATAAATATGCATTGATAAGGTTTAGTACTTATTTCTATTACCGGAAATATTAAAAACAAATTTTAAAGAATCAATTAATTTTATTGCTTTATTATAAACAGGATATTATAATGCTAAATTGCCCCTTTGAAAAGCCATTGTAAATATGTATGTAGTAAATTATTTTATAATCTTTTCCAAAAAAAAGAAAACAATTTAATTTTGTGTATATAAAAGACTGTTATATAATTATCATAAGAATTAAAAAAATACAGTTAAAGTAATTAGTTTATATGAAAAAATATTTAATTATAGCATATAAAGGCAAACAAACTGTTTCATATTTATATACATACAAAAAAAGTACATATCATTTGAAAGCAAAACCATATAAATTTATATTTATAAAAAAATTAAATTACAAAAAAAGTGTATTGTTTAATTGATAACAATTAAAATAAATTAAAAAAAAGAAAATCTATATATACACAAAAATATATATTCAAAATGAAAGCTTGTTAATTATATTAAAAAAAATAATATTAATTTAAATAAAATGCATAGAAAGTTGAAAAATATTATAGTTAAAAAAAAGAAATAATAACCGAAAGGAAATACAACAAAAAGCTTAGCTGAAACTAAAACAATTGTAGATTATAAAAAAATTAAAATTATAATGATATTTAAAAATTAAACGTTACAGAGCATAAAACAATTAAGAGTTTACATGAATTTTGCAGAATATTTATGAACAATTTAAAATAATAAAAATTTAACAATTTATTTATTCCTCATCATACCAAAAACCTGAATGAACACGAATGTCAAATTTTTTAAATTCATCTTAATAAATTTGTGCTCATAAACGTTTATTATTTTAAGATAATAGTTAAACTTATTAAACAACGGTTAATTACTATGTATAAATAGTTTAAAATGAAAAAGTATTAATAACAACAAATTGTAAATTTATAAATGAACAAAAGAACTCAGAAAAATATTATGTAATGGGAAATATAATAATAAGATAAAATATAAATAATATAATAAATATGAAAGAAACAAATAAGTGTCTAATATTTACTTAAAGATTGTGGAAAGGATCGGGTAAAGGTAACTAAACAACTAACAAACCAACAAATGAACGATCCTAACTAACTAACTAACTAACTAACTACTAACTAACTAACTAACTAACTAACTAACTAACTAACTAACTAACTAACTAACTAACTAACTAACTACTAACTAACTAACTAACTAACTAACTAACTACTAACTAACTAACTAACTAACTAACTAACTAACTAACTACTAACTAACTAACTAACTAACTAACTAACTAACTAACTAACTAACTAACTAACTAACTAACTAACTAACTAACTAACTAACTAACTACTAACTAACTACTAACTAACTAACTAACTAACTAACTAACTAACTAACTAACTAACTAACTAACTAACTAACTAACTAACTAACTAACTAACTAACTAACTAACTAACTAACTAACTAACTACTAACTAACTAACTAACTAACTAACTAACTAACTAACTAACTAACTAACTAACTAACTAACTAACTAACTAACTACTAACTAACTAACTAACTAACTAACTAACTAACTAACTAACTAACTAACTAACTAACTAACTAACTAACTAACTAACTAACTAACTAACTAACTAACTAACTAACTACTAACTAACTAACTAACTAACTAACTAACTAACTAACTAACTAACTAACTAACTAACTAACTAACTAACTAACTAACTAACTAACTAACTAACTAACTAACTAACTACTAACTAACTAACTAACTAACTAACTAACTAACTAACTAACTAACTAACTAACTAACTAACTAACTAACTACTAACTAACTAACTAACTAACTAACTAACTAACTAACTAACTAACTACTAACTAACTAACTAACTAACTAACTAACTAACTAACTAACTAACTAACTACTAACTAACTAACTAACTAACTAACTAACTACTAACTAACTAACTAACTAACTAACTAACTAACTAACTAACTAACTAACTAACTAACTACTAACTAACTAACTAACTAACTAACAACTAACTAACTAACTAACTAACTACTAACTAACTAACTAACTAACTAACTAACTAACTAACTAACTAACTAACTAACTACTAACTAACTAACTAACTAACTAACTAACTAACTAACTACTAACTAACTAACTAACTAACTAACTAACTAACTAACTACTAACTAACTAACTAACTAACTAACTAACTAACTAACTACTAACTAACTAACTAACTAACTAACTAACTAACTAACTAACTAACTACTAACTAACTAACTAACTAACTAACTAACTAACTAACTAACAACTACTACTAACTAACTAACTAACTAACTAACTAACTAACTAACTAACTAACTAACTAACTAACTAACTAACTAACTAACTAACTAACTAACTAACTAACTAACTAACTAACTAACTAACTAACTAACTAACTACTACTAACTAACTAACTAACTAAAACTAACTAACTAACTAACTAACTAAACTAACTAACTAACTAACTAACTAACTAACTAACTAACTAACTAACTACTAACTAACTAACTAACTAACTAACTAACTACTAACTAGAATCTGACAACCTCAAGTCTGCTTAACAATAAAAAGTATATTATACATAACGCCGTAAAATATGCACCTCTTTCATTAAAAATGTAATTTTTTCCAATAAGAATATGTATAAATTCTTATACATAAACAAATGAAACAGGGAAGCGAATAAGGGCGTAAAGACCACTTTGTGTTCAACCGATCGGTGCTTTAAAAGCACGTTTTTTGTAATTAGAGTAGAGGCTAATGTCATAGACCATGGAAAATATATAGATCATAGTGTTTAGACTATAGAAACTATTGTATTTAGATAACATACTTAGAAGAGTGATGATATGAATTACATATATATAGACAAAACTGTAACCATTAGACTATATGGTCTTTAGTATCTATACTAATATACATTTATATTGATCTACAGTCTAAAGTTTATAGACTAAAGATCGCTCATTAGTAAACAGACTACAGATCAGCCTTATATGAGAGATGTTAGATTAGTCTGTAGGGTCTAGTGGATATAAATTAATCTGCTGTAGAAAGACTAAGAGAACACTTTTTCGCCAAGCGATTAGGGATCAGTATATAATTGATAAACTGTAGAATCTAAAATTCTAAATTCGGGACTAACCACTGTAGAATGTGCAGTCTCTAAATTATATAGTATTTGAACTATAGATATAGTATTGGCTTAAAAACAGCTTTTAACAAAAGCCTTATG